GATAATTTAATTTTCATTATTGAAAAAATACAATTTAAATAGTTATTTTTAGTTAAAAATAAATTTCTTGATCTGGATGATGGATAGTTTCCAAAATTGAAATAAAATGTCAGATTTTTTATGAAAGTTCAGTAAATGACATTATTTTGGGTTTGAAAAAAAAAATGATTGAAGTTTTCTTTTTTCATCTAAGTATTAATAAATAGAAATTAATTCTGGGGTCTGCAAAATTAAAAATTGTTCCTAATAGATAAAAACAAGGAGTTATCTAATTTAACTAATTAGAATTAATTATAAAACATATTTATATAGAATCTGTTCTATTCTGTGTTAATAATATTTAAATATAAAATGAGTATGTAATAAGAATATGATTACCTTTTCAAGATACTTTTGATAGGAAACTCCGCAGTAGGTAAATCGTCATTGTTACTTCGATTTGCCGATAATGTATTTAACGAAAGTTTTTTACCCACAATTGGTGTAGATTTCAAGATCCGTACTTTTGATTTGAATGGGAAAACAGTAAAGTTGTAGGTAGAATGAAAATAAAAATTAGATTTGGGATACAGCTGGATAAGAAAGGTTCAAAACAATAACAAACTCTTATTATAAAGGAGCTCATGGAATTATATTAGTTTATGATGTGACTGATAAGTAATCATTTAAAGATGTGGAAAATTGGTTAGCTGGTAATTATATTAGATTAATAAAATTAGAAGTGGAAAAATATGCAAATGAGAATGTAGTAAGAGTACTAGTTGGAAACAAAGTGGATTTAGAAAGTAAAAGAGAAGTAACATTTGAAGAAGGAAAAGAACTGGCAGATTCATTGAATATACGTTTTATAGGTATGAATTAATTTTATTGAAAGAAACATCTGCAAAGAATTCATCAAATGTTGAAAAAGCATTCATAACTCTAGCAAATGAAATTAAAGCAAAAGTTGCTAAAAGTAGTGAATCTGTACCAATAAAAACTGGACCTCGCATCACTCCAGATTAATAATAGAATACCGTAAAAGATAATGGATGTTGTTGACAAACATTATAACCATATTATTATTTAATTCAATTTGTGGGTTTGTATTACGATACAATTATTTAAGGGACTTAATAATTCGTATAATCTCTAGATCCAATTCTATCAACAATTTATGAAGATAAATTATCTTCCTTAGGATACAAATTTCTTATATATACTTATCAATATATTACTTCTCAACATCATTAGTGATGATCACATGTTTTGTTGTTGTTGTACTATTATTTTAAATTGGTTGATATTAATAATTCTAAGATATGGGAGTTGGGTTTGTTAGATTTTATTGTGATTATTAATAAATTTTAGAAGTTGTACTCTATTAAACATAACTTGTTGTTTATACAATAGGTTATTGTTATTATATTAAAGTCGTTGAGGTAGTAATTTGTTATTGTTAAGAAGGGGATCTTTTTGATTATCTTAATTTAACTTCTTATAGAATATTGATTTGAGATTCATATTCAGTGATCTAAATTATAATTCAATGTTACTTTCTAAATCATGATATTAATTCTTGCATCTTAATCTCTCTTAAGATTTTGCAATCTTTCTATTTCTAATTAGAGAGTTTCTATTTAAGTTTCTAATTCTCTAATTTTTATTTCCTTTGTTCTTACTTATTCTTTAATTACTAAAACTGTGTTTGTATTAACTGAACTTGCGTTTAATGAATTAGAATTTAGGTTCATCTCTAATTCAAGTATTTTTTGGTTTTTTTATTAGATAATTTCAGTTAATTCTTTTATTTTTGGTTCATCAGTCATTACAACAGTTTTCTCTATCAAAGATTAAGTATTTCTAGTTTCATATTCCTTTGTTCTTGTTTCAAATTCTCTAATTCTTGTTTCATAGATTGAAACTTTACTTTGGTATTCTTAAAGTTTTGTTTCCAATTCTCTTATTTTTTAATCATCATAAATATATTTTACTTATTATTATTATTATTTTTGTTGAGATTAAAATTCTTTGATTCTCAATTCTAATTCCTAAATTTATCTATAGTAATTATCTCTTTCTCTTCTTAAGTTCGCATCTTGTGAATTTTTTAAAGAACTGGCCTGTAATTCTCTAATTCTTGATTCTAATTCTTAAACTTATCTATAATAATTATCTCTTTCTCTTCTTAAATTCTCATCTTATGAACTTCTTATAGAACCAGTTTACAATTCTCTAATTCTCATTTCTAATTCTTAAATTTATCTTTAATAATTATCTCTTTCTCTTTTCAATTAAATGTACTAGATATCATTTTCTATGTTTATTGTTGTTACATTTGTGACAGATTTATTTCCCTATTTGAGCAATGCATCATATTCTATTCTTAATTAATCATATTCTTTCAACCTGATTTCTGTTTAAAAGTAGCGATTCTTCCAAACTTCAAGTTCTTGTTAAATATTCTATAATTCTTTTGATAGATTTTCAACACTCTTATATTTAGATGAATTGGATTCAACAATATCTTTATATCTAAGATAGTTTGCATTTTATTCATTGTATTTGATTTATAATTCAGAATAAGTATCTTCAAGTTCTTTGATTCTTAACATAAATGTATCACAATCTTTTTCTAATTATTCGATTTAAATTTCTAATTTCCACTTTTCTTATTCAACTTCTTCAAATCTTTCTGAATTATAGACATTAGCAGATAATCGGAATCCTTCCATTTCCTAATTTTATTAATCAATTTTAGATTGTGCAGCTTCTAATTATCTTCTAAGTTAATCTAATTAGTTTTCATAATCAGCTATTTATTATTATTATTAAGTTAATTTAGATGATTATTATTAACTCATTTACTAAGTCATTTATTAACTGATAGTAAGACGAGTTCTTTACATTTCCTATTCTTTTTCACCTAATAAACGATTCAATTATTCTATTCTTGCTAATAACTTAGCTTCATCAGATGTTTAATGGCGAGCCTCTAAAACTTTGCATCGATCCTTCCATTAACCCAATTCATGAATTAATGCTTCCATATCAGCCTCTAATGAATTGACCTAATCGTTTTTTGATAATTTAATTCTGATTTCTTGACTTTCTAAGATAGAAGCATCATATTTATCTCTCCATCTTTATATTTCTAATCTTAATTCCTCAATGAGAGCTTCTTAATCATTTAATTGTTATTATATTAAATCAACTGTTTGATATTTTTCAAATTTCTTTTTTGCTTCTAATTCAGATAATTTTAATTTATTTTAATAATACGCTAGCTGTTTTAATTATTCCGCATTATCTTTATCTTTTTATTCAAGTTCTGCATATTTACGTTTCCATTAATCTAATTCAAGCATTAATTTATCAATTTCTGTTCTACTTTTTAATTCTGTTTCACTTCTTAACATCATTAGTTCTTTTTAACAGGCTTCTAATTCTTATTGTGTAATTTACAATTCTTTTTTGAGAATTGTCACATCTGTACTTGAACTTGATTTATATGTGGCTACTTCTCTTTTTAATTACTCAATAACTTCTCTATATACATTTTTATCTGTAATACCTCATTCTTAAATTATCTTAAATTAATTCTTCATAATGATGTTATCTTTCAGCTTCTGATTTTTCGTAAGTCTTAGAACGTTATACAACCATGAAATCCTTTTCATCAACTTTTCCAAGTAACTAAGTTGAAGCCCAATTAGCTTATTGAGTAGAAACTTAAAAGCTATCCTCTTTATAACGAATTTATTGTGTTTCATTATATGTAGTTTAAATGGCACCAGATTATCCAGATTGTCTCATTGCTTAATATGATCTGCTATAATTCATTATTATTTAATTAATGAAGATACTATTTTTAATAATTGATGGTGTTGCTGATGTTGGTACACCAGAGACATAATTTAAGACTCCACTTTAATTGGCTGAAATTCCTATTATGAATTAAATAGCTTCAACAGGATTAGCAGGTTTAATGGACCCAGTTGAACCAGGATTATCTTGTGGAAGTGATACTGCTCATATGAGTATTTTTGGTTATGATCCATTTACATAATACCGAGGTAGAGGAGCATTTGAAACTATGGGTTCTGGAATAGATATGTAAGTAGGTGATATAGCATTTAAATGTAATTTTGCATACATGGATAATGGAATTGTTAAATTAAGAAGAGTTGATAGAGAATTTCCTGAATGGGGACTTCCTTTAATTGATGCACTTAATACCTAACTTAAAACACCTATTTAAATATAAGCTAATCATGCTACAGAACATCGTATTGGATTAAAAGTTGTATCAAATCATTATTCTGGAGAATTAACAGATGAAATTATTGGAACTGATCCACTTAAAGATAATCTACCTTTACGATTAGCTAAACCTAAAGTATAATCAGATAAAGCAATTAGAACTGCAAATATCATTAATGAACTCTCTGATTCTATACATAAAATGTTATCTGAACATCCTATTAATATATAAAGATAATCATAAGGATTACCAACTGCTAATGTAGTACTATTAAGAGGATGTGGATAAAGAATTTAAGTACAAAACTTCTAAGAAAAGTATGGATTGAAAGGAGCTGTCATTGCTCCCACTGCAATTATTCAAGGATTATCTAAAACTATTGGTTTAGAATGGCATCATGTTGAAGGAGCTACTGGAGATTATAATAGTAATTTCATTAACAAAGGTTAAAAAGCCATTGAATTATTATAAAATCAGTATGACTTTGTTTTCTTACATATTAAAGCTGTTGATGATGCTGGTCATGATAAAAATAAAGATCTTAAAATTAAATATTTATAGAAAGTTGATCAAATGTTGAATTACATTGTTACTAACATTCAATTATAAGATTTAGTTATAGCAGTTACTGGAGATCATACAACTCCATATGCTTATGGAGATCATACATTTCAAAGTGTACCATTTATTATAAGTAAATTGAGTCTACTCAATGGATAAAAGAATGATATTTTATTTAATGAAATCTCATGTCTTAAAGGAGCCTTGGGTAGATTTTGCGGTAAATAAGTGATGTAGATTATTAAATAGTATAGTTCATGATTATATTTTAATATAAATTATTTTTCTGTTATGAAGTTATTTGAAGAAGTTAACAACCTTTTAGACACAGACAAAGATAAAATGGCACGAGAGTAACATATTCTTAAACGTTTAGTACTTATGATAAATTACTTGATTTATAAACAGAAAACTATACATTCTATGAAGTTAATGATTAATTCTTTACCGAAAAACATACAAAATTAGATAAGTACCTAAGAAAAATAAAGGAGTCAATTATAAAAAATACGAAAAATATAGAAAATTTTAAGAATGNGTTCTGGAATAGATATGTAAGTAGGTGATATAGCATTTAAATGTAATTTTGCATACATGGATAATGGAATTGTTAAATTAAGAAGAGTTGATAGAGAATTTCCTGAATGGGGACTTCCTTTAATTGATGCACTTAATACCTAACTTAAAACACCTATTTAAATATAAGCTAATCATGCTACAGAACATCGTATTGGATTAAAAGTTGTATCAAATCATTATTCTGGAGAATTAACAGATGAAATTATTGGAACTGATCCACTTAAAGATAATCTACCTTTACGATTAGCTAAACCTAAAGTATAATCAGATAAAGCAATTAGAACTGCAAATATCATTAATGAACTCTCTGATTCTATACATAAAATGTTATCTGAACATCCTATTAATATATAAAGATAATCATAAGGATTACCAACTGCTAATGTAGTACTATTAAGAGGATGTGGATAAAGAATTTAAGTACAAAACTTCTAAGAAAAGTATGGATTGAAAGGAGCTGTCATTGCTCCCACTGCAATTATTCAAGGATTATCTAAAACTATTGGTTTAGAATGGCATCATGTTGAAGGAGCTACTGGAGATTATAATAGTAATTTCATTAACAAAGGTTAAAAAGCCATTGAATTATTATAAAATCAGTATGACTTTGTTTTCTTACATATTAAAGCTGTTGATGATGCTGGTCATGATAAAAATAAAGATCTTAAAATTAAATATTTATAGAAAGTTGATCAAATGTTGAATTACATTGTTACTAACATTCAATTATAAGATTTAGTTATAGCAGTTACTGGAGATCATACAACTCCATATGCTTATGGAGATCATACATTTCAAAGTGTACCATTTATTATAAGTAAATTGAGTCTACTCAATGGATAAAAGAATGATATTTTATTTAATGAAATCTCATGTCTTAAAGGAGCCTTGGGTAGATTTTGCGGTAAATAAGTGATGTAGATTATTAAATAGTATAGTTCATGATTATATTTTAATATAAATTATTTTTCTGTTATGAAGTTATTTGAAGAAGTTAACAACCTTTTAGACACAGACAAAGATAAAATGGCACGAGAGTAACATATTCTTAAACGTTTAGTACTTATGATAAATTACTTGATTTATAAACAGAAAACTATACATTCTATGAAGTTAATGATTAATTCTTTACCGAAAAACATACAAAATTAGATAAGTACCTAAGAAAAATAAAGGAGTCAATTATAAAAAATACGAAAAATATAGAAAATTTTAAGAATGCATATGATTTTGGAAGCATGTTAAGTGTTAAAGAAAAATTCAAATTACTTAGCATAGAAAAATTTTATAAAGAATAAGGTAAATTGCCTAAATGGTTTGATGAATATAAAATGGATCAATTGGAGAGAGCAAGAGAAAATTTAAATGGTTTTGCTTTGCGTTCTTATCGAAATAGAGTTAATGAGACAGTAATGGCGGAAAGGAAACGACTTGAAAAAAAGGTTTTAAATTTAATCGATGAAATTCATACAACTTATACTTTAGAAGGAAAATTGGATCTACCTATTTTAAAAATTTAAGAATTATAACATTGTAAATAATATAGTTAATCTAAATTAGTACTTGAAGAATTATAAGAGTATGATCGTATTATTCCTGAATTAGTTATAGTAGTTATGCATAAAGTAGATGAAATATGTGCATAAATAGTTAGGAACTTCATTGAATTTTAGTCCAAATGTGAAAATCTATTTAAATGAATTTATTTCATAATTTTATAATAACTAATATTTTACTTAAATAAAATGGACGAAGAATAAGGAGGTTTTTTTGAACAATTAAGATAAATGTATTAGAGTAGAGAAAAAATAGAATCTAAAATAGTGGGGTTTCATATGCAAAAACAATTTAAAATTTCTCATTTATATGGTAATGAAGAACAAATAAATTGTATGGATTTAATTGACATATCTGAGAATGAATCTTTTATAATAGTATGTTCTGATGCAAAAATAAAATTATATTCTCACACAACAAAACTTAATAAATTATTTGAGTTTGTAATTTAATTTGAAGTAAATGAACATCTAGATTATGATGGACTAAAAAATGAGAAATAAAAAAAGTTTCTCAGGCATTCTAAATAATTAACAACAGGGCCTGTAAAAGAATTAATTATGTTTTGTCATTTTGCATATATATATGAATAATTATATGTATATGCAGCGGGAGATTTAGGATATGTTTATTAAATAGAAATAAAAGAGAATCCTGAATATTTTTTACTTGAAGGGCATCATAATGTTATAACAGGATTAGGGAGTAATAATAAAGGTGCTTTTTCATCATCTAAGGATGGTTCAATAATTTAATGGGATGCATGCAATAGATAAATAGTATAAGTATTTAGAGATGGAGATACACCTGAAGCAGAAGTATTATGTGTATCAGCAAATTAAGATTATGTGATAGGAGGATATTCTGATGGAAAATTGAAACTATGGATAATTTAAGATTATAAAAATGATAGCTGGACTTATAAAATTAATAAATAACCGACTATTATTTTTTAAGGTCCTCTTTAAGATATTTATCCTCATGTATCTTAAATCTTTTTATTAAAATAAACTATTGTAACTAAACATCTAAATGGAATAATTAATTATTTTGTATTTGATTTGTAAGGTAGAACAATATCACTTCGAGATTGGGAAATGTCAAATGAAAATTATTGGGAGTGCATAGATGTAAAATTCCCTTATCTTATATATACTTGCTTTAATCGTATGCAAGTGATAACACTTAAAAAAAATAAATTGACTTATGAAGCTGAATTAGATGTATTGCCATCTAGTAAACTGACTATATCTAAAATATCAAATAGATTAATTTTAATTGGAAGAATGAATTAATATACAATTATATAATAATGATAAATCTTATATTTTTATTCTATAATAATCTCTTAAAAAATATTAATTCCAATTTAATATAATGTAGATATATCTCATTTAATTATTAAAACAAATACTTTAATTAGTTCAGTGATGTTTTGCATATATTAAAATAATATTATTATAAAAATGAAAATAATATATTTGATGATTAACTATATAAAAAATGCGTCATTTATATTAAAATAATAGTATAATGCGCATGAAAATAGGCATGAATTAACCAAATTCCTTAATTTATGATCTAATTTATTAAATATCCAGAAAATGCACTCTCAACATGTAAAACTAAGTGACGATCCAGAATTATCTGCAATTTGTTCAGCTCTCCTTTTAGCTTTCATAGAGAACTCTCGTGTTTTAAGATATTGTTCAGGAGGTGGAGATTATACAAATACATAAAATGATTTTGGAGATCATTAATTAGAAATGGATGTATAATGTGAACTAAATGTTAATACAGAATTAAAGAGAACAGGATTTGTTAGTCATACAGCAAGTGAAGAAACACCAGAAGTATATATTCTATTTTTATTTATTTTAGATGAAGCTTTTAACTGAAGGTGGAAAGTATATTGTAACATTTGATCCTCTAGATGGAAGTTCAATAATTGGAACTAATTTTGCAGTGGGAACAATTGTTGCAATTTGGAAATCAGATGAAAATTTATTGATAGGAAAAAGAGGAAGAGATATGGTTTCAGCTTGTTGTTGTCTCTATGGTAGTAGAACTAATGTGATATTCTGGAATGAAAAAGAATAGAAAGTTTAAGAATACACATTATTTGGTATTAGCATATTTTATTTTTAGATGGTGATAAATAAGGTCATTGGGAATTAACTAAAGATAATATTAAGATCAAGCCAAAAGGTAAATTGTTTAGTCCAGGAAATACAAGATGCATAATAGATCATATTCCATATAGAGAGGTTGTTGATTATTGGATTCATAATGGCTATACACTTAGATATTCTGGTGGCATGGCTCCAGATATTTGTTAGATCTTCTTAAAAGAAGTTGGTGTCTTTTCCTGTTTTGGAGATGCCAAAAATCCATCTAAATTAAGATATCTCTATGAATGTGCACCATTATCCTTCTTAATCGAGAAGGCTGAAGGAAAATCATTTAATGGCAAACATTCAGTTCTAGACACTGAAATCACAGGTTATTAATAAAAAAGCGAAATCATTGTTGGTAGTTCAGAAGAAATTGAATTTTTCAAATCAATCTGGAAAAAACATGGCATATTAAAAGAATGATGTAATATACAAATTATTATAAAAATTTTTAAATAAAATTATCATTTTCTGTAATCTTTACATTATTTAATTTATTTATTAACCCACATTACCTCATTTTTATTATCCAGATTTTCATTTTCTTTTAATTCTTATTTTATAACCTTTTAAATTTTAATATATCCAGAGATATTAATAGATATTTTTATATATTCAGCAAATTATATTCATTAAAATAAAATTAGTAGATCTCTGTACAAAATAATTTATATTAGTTATTCTTTTTTAAGTATTTAATATGTATTATTTTTAATATAGTTTAAAATAATTATTTGTTTAATAAATTATAACTCTTGAGAACTAATAAAATAAATTTATATGCAAATATTTCATAAAAATCGAAATGAATAAATAATTTTTTCCTCTTCTATTGCTCCATATTTGAAATTTATACTAAAATAAGAAATTATTTAGGATATTAAAATAATAATTAAAAAATTGTGAATAATTGATCTATCATTTATAAAAAATCTAAACTTTAAAGATATATTATTTGATGCCTTTGTTTCTTAATACAGGAATAATTGTTATCATACTTATGATAAAGTTTATATTAATTCATATAATGATTTATATGATTTATTAAAGATTAAATTTCAATAATTACTTTCGAAATTCTCATCAATTTTATTGTAGAAAACTCTTTTTTATCAATTTGATGAATTAAAAATTAAATAAAAATTATATAATTAACATGAAAATTTGAATTCTTAATATGTAAAATATCTTAGAATCACATATATGATATACAATCAATCTTGATGAAAATTATTTATTACAACGTCATCAGCTTTAGGATTTTATTTACTATGTTCATAAAGCATATCCCTTAACTTATCATTCAATCCCTCAATTTGAATTTCTTACATTTTAATTTTATGAGTATAAAAACTTTCCATATCTATTAATAGTTATTGTAAATGAGTATTTTCATTTTATAATTATTTGCTTTTCAAATCTAGAGGCTTAGAAGATTTTGAATCATTTATATCAGTTACTTCTTAAACAAAAGATGATTTAATATTTTTTTATTAAGATAATTAACCAATAATTTGTTCTTTTTTGTATAACTCTTACCTAAGTAAATTTATGGTATTTTATTAATTTGCTAATTCCTCTAATTATTAATAGACTTAAGCCTATGCTATTCTCTTTTCGTCTTGAATAGATCTTTATTATTTTTGGCTAATCTCTAATTAAATTTATAATTTTTTGATTTCTTCTAAAAAGTTATTTTCAGTTTGATTTTTTTAATCTTACTTTTTATCTTATATTTATTTCTATAACTTAACAATCAATACTTTATTTAATTCATTTTCATTTTGTATTTTTTCCAAATTTTCTTTTATTAATCTTTTTTCTTTCTCAAATCTTAATGATTCCTATTCTTTTTCTTCTTTTAATAAATTTTAACTATTCGAAATTTATAATAATCGCTAATATAATTTTTAGATTTCATGCTTAAGTTATGTCTATTCATCTTAATTTTATTTGATTATTAGTTTTTGTTCCTCAGTTAAATCCTATAAAAATCTTTATTTTTCCTAATCTTATTATATTTTAAATATTTCAGCTTGTAATTTAATATTTTCTTAATTAATATAATCATTATTTTTTAGCTTTTCTTAGTTTTCTAATATTATATTATTCAATTTTGAAATTTCATCAGATTTATTTTTTTTTTCTTTTTCAATATATTTTTCTAAATTTGAATTTTATTGTAAAAGTACTTCTATTTATTTTTCTTATTAGTTTATTCTTTCATTTAATTGTTTTAATTGAGTTATTCTAAATAACTGAAATTCATCTTAATTAATAATATCTTAATATTGGTTAGTTATACTTTAAAGAGCAGATCCTTATTTATAATACTCATCCTACAACTATAATAATAGTTATTCATACTAATTTGCTTTTTAATTTAATTTATAATTTTCAGTTTTCAATTCTTAGTAATTTTACTCATTCTCTGTTTTTAAAGGATAATAATTTTATTATAAATTATTACTATTTTCAATTCTTTATAGTAAATAATTTTTATTTTGTATTTATGCAGTAATTTCACTTATTTGAACCATTAATTGATTAAATTTAGAAATTATTTTTGAAATTAGGGAATTAAGCTATATTTTGTCCTTTATTCTTTAATTTAATATCTAAACTAGTTATGTTAATTTAATTATAAATTCATTCTATTTCTCTTCTTCTATTTGTATTTTCTTAACTTATTAGTTCTATATAATTTATTCTTTTAAATTTTTAATCTAATTCTATAAATCTTAATTTAGTTGTTCATTTTGAGAATTTAATTTATGCAATTGACCTATTTCAAATAAGGATATAGTAATAAAATTATTTAAATCATCTATTTATTTGAATACATTAATTTGTTAACCTTAAATCTGCTGTTCATTTTTAACATTATTAATTATAGGTCGATTTTAATATAAGTCTTAAAAGCAACTTTCTTATTCTTAACTTTAATAATTAATTATTCTTTATAATTTATCTTTTTCTTTAGTTATTTCTTACAAAGCAATTTTCAATTATTAGCATTCCTCTACTAAAATTTTATTTTATTAACTCAATGAAGATATTATTTAGTTATGATCTTTTTATAAATTTTGACTTTCCCATAATCGTTGATGATTAAATCCTTCAGTTTAATTTAATAAATTATCAGTATAATTAGACTATGGAATCTTCTTATTTAGTGAATCAATATAATTCTATTGTTACAATATTTAATTTTGCAAATAAACATTTTTTTCCAGAATTTACTCTATGGATCCATCTTAAATTGTCTTATTTTAAGCTATTATATTTTTTTCTCTCTACTCAAATTATAATTAACTTTATAAATAATTTATATCTTCTCTTAATTTCATATTTTAAGAGTTTAGTTCTTCTATTTAGTTCTTTAAATTATTAATATAATCCAATTATTAGCCTTCAAAATCCTAAATGTCTAATTATAAACCTTGTCTTAATTACAATACATCATTTTTATATTGATTGTTTTCTTATTATAAAATAACAACCTATTACTAATATTATTAAAGCAATTTAGTTTAATTAATAATTTTTTTTTCAAAATCCTATTGTAATTTTTATTTTTCTTCAAAATCTTTGATTTATTTCAAATAATTTTAATTTTAAAGATTCAACTCATCAGTTTTAAAATTTAGTTCCATAAAATCAACTGAAGGAGATTGATCTTGATCTTTCTTTGTTAATTTTAATTCTTACTAATTTGGTATTTATAAAAATTACTATTTTAATTCAGAAATTTAAGCTTATTCATAATGATTTTTTTAATTTTAATAATCATCTTCTAATAGCTTAATTCTCTTATTTGCTTACTCCTTTAATTGCTTTTCGAAAGAAAGTTACTTTTCTAAAAGAGCAATTTTAGAAGATAAAACAGTGCTTTATGCTGAAATTTATATTTCACTATTATATTATATCGAAGATAGCTAATTTTATAGAAATTAATTATGTTGTTTCATATCTTCTAATTAAAAGTTTAAATGTTAAATTATTTCGCTATTTTATAGAGGCTCAGGATTTTACTATATAGCTTATTATTTTTGATTTTAAATTAGTTGAATCTATTCTTATATTTCTAAATACTTGTCTTAAACAATTTTTAATTATTTAGAAAGTTCTGTTTTTTCATGACTGAGATTTCGAATTTCTTCTAATTAATTTTAATTATTTAATTTTTGTATTTATATTAATTATTCTTAGGCTTAAATCTGCTACTAAAGAACAGATATAGAATCATATAATTATTTAGTTAATTCTTATTCAAAGCTTAATTATTTTTTAAAATTTTCAATTTCAATTTTAATCTAATCTTATTAAAAAAATTATATTTACATTTGCTAATTCTCCTTTAAAATAGTTTATGATTCTTTATCATGCGTTTAATTTTTAATTTTATTGTTCTAATTTTCAAATAATAATTTATCTTTTTCAATGATTTATTATTCTAAAAGTTTATTTCTATTTTACATCTTATAAATTTAATTTTTATTATTATCATTTTCTGATTACAAGATTTGGGCAAATTATGTGGTTTTTTGATTCTAATCATGTTAAAATTTTAACTCCTATTATACATTTTTGATATCTTTTGTAAAATCTAAAATCTATTATTTCAATGAATCATTTTGTTTTTACAAAATTGTAATTTCTTAAGATTAAACTTATAATTTTTAAGTTAAATTTATATTAATGTTTTCATGATCTTATTTTATTTTAATTATTTCTTTGTTTTATTCTGTTTCTGTCTGAGATGATTAAGACAATAAAGTATTTTATTTATTTTTAATTTCATCTTATTCTGAAATAAACTATGACAGTTGAATTTATTATTAATAAAATAAATTCTTCAATTAAGTTATTTGTTATTATAAATCATTAATCATACCATATTAATTTAAATTTGAGAATGTTTATTCAATTTTATAGCCTTGATGTTCTTTTTATTTATTTGGAATATCAATATTGTCATTGACCGTTCTATTAAATTTATTATTTCTTTGAATTCTTATTTATTAATTTATTTCGCTTTCTGCAGATTAAATTTAAAATAAATCTTTTAAATTTTCTAATAAATTTAAGGCTCTTTAATATATTTATTAAAATTATTATTCATGGCTATTTAGTGATTGTTGTTACAATAATATAAAATCTTTAGATTGCTTTTAAGTTAAATTTAAATTAACTTTTTATTAGATATTTTCCTCTTATCTTTTGTTAAATTCTGATTCAACTTATAAATTTGATTTTTATTTAAGCGGATTTTATAGATTTATTTTATCAAAAATTTGAACTTCTTTTGGGATATCTGATGGTTTTTATTAGAAAGTTCCAATATCATTTGACCTAATAATTTTTTTTACTGGTTTGCGATTCTGCTACGGTTCATCAATTTAATCTAAATTTATTTCATAAGTAGCTTACCATCTTCATTATTATGATTTTATTTGATAGATCCTTGAGAATTTTAATTTTATAAGGAGTTTTAAGATTTAATTTAGAATTCGGTAGTGTTAATATTAAATTCTGATAATATCACTTCCTTATTAGTATTTTCTTCTTATTTCTTTAATTTATTTATATTTGATAGATCTTCTTATTTGTTATTATTTATCCTAAATATTTCATTAAAATACTGGTTAGGTTTATAGTATGAAGCATTCTATTTAAGATTTATGTCTGGTATAGAGTATGGATTACTAATGTTCTATTTTACTATTGTTTTTTTAATGGGCGAATAGGAACAGGGATAATAAATTTATTGTTTTGGCATTCCTTAATAATAACAACATTATAGTTAAGGCTTCTAATCTATATTTTATTAAATACTTATAAAAATATTGGGCAGATCTATGCAATAGTTTAATAGGAAACAAATGATTTTTAAGTTCTGATTCCTTAATAATATTAAGGATGTAGATTCCTAATAGAAGGTTATAAATATTAATATGATTAAGGATGGAGCTTATTTGGAGAAAGGCTATAAGAATATTATACATTATTTTGGTATGGATAATTCTTAAAATGAGTTGATGTAAAAATTTGTTAATTTATTAAATGATCATTAAGACTTGTAATTAATTAAATATTTTACTTTTTTTAATTACGAAGTTAAAACATTTCAAATTACTTTAATTCCAGAATCTTTCTTAAGTAAAAAATTTGACTTTTAATACTTTAAATTGTTTAAGATTTTTGATTTTGTAAGAATAAAATTTATTTAATTAAATCGTCAAATTAATAAATATTCTAATTTTCTCTTATATTTTGCTATGGTTAAGAATATGACTATTAATGTATAGGAATTTAAGAATTAGATATCCAGCTAATCGGGGTATTTGATTTTATTGAGTAAATTCTTTCAATGGTTTTATTATTACCTAATTAATTCATTGTTTGAAACAATTAACATTACTATTATCTTTTTGGAGTTGAACTTTCTTAACCATCTTTTTTGATAAAATTTTTATTCTCCAGAGTGTTTTGAAAAGTATTTTAACTTTAAAATTCGATTAATTTTTCTCTTAGTTAATTATTGTCATTTATTAGCAAATTTAATTTGAGATCTAAAAGTTTAAGCTCTTTCGTTAATCTTTTATTTTTTAAAATTAAATTAGTTTATTCAGAGTTCTCTTATTATTCATATGTATTTTATTATTAAAGTTCAGTTAGTTCTTTTTATGAATCTTGGAAAGATGTTTGGGGAATATATTATGTTAATTATTTCAGTTCTTCATTCTTTTCTATCAGCAATTATGAATATAATTATTCTAAGTCATATAATTTCTTTCTTGTTGAAGGACCATCTTTAATTTATGATCGAAGTTCTTAAATTTCTTTTTATAATTATTAATTCTGTAATTATTAACTTTTCATTTGCTGTTCTAGGTTGGCGTATTAATAAGATCTTTGCATATTTGTATCTAGTTGCGAGCTAGATAATATATTCCTAATACTTTTCTTTGATTGTTTTATTTATGAATTCATTTTTTTCTATTTTTTGTTAATTATTTGCTTATAATTATTCATTTAGTTATTCTTTTTAAAATAAATCTAAGTTTTACAAATAATTTTAACCTTTCTTTTCAAAATCTTAGGCTTTTTAGTTTTAATAATCTAATTTTGAGTTCAATATCTAATGCAATCTTTCTATTTCTATTGCCATTAATATTATTCTAATCTGTAAGTCTTATAATTAGGTTTTAGATTCTTAGATTTTATTTCCATTTTTACAATTATTTGCATTTACTTCTTTAGAAATACTCTATGGGGATAACATAAATAAAAATTATTTTATATATAATTATTTTTACAATTTAGTATAATACTTATTATAAAGTTTATTAAAAGTTAATTTACTTTTTTATCTAATCTATGTCTTAAATATTTTATGAAAATAAAACTTTCTTTATATTTTTCATAAGCACATATTCACATATCAAATAAATAGAAGATCAACTTATTACTTAAGTAATACTTTAATTAAATCTTTAGTTTCAAATAAAATACAGATTTTAGACTAGTAAATTTCTATCTTAAATTTATTGATTCCAATAATTAAATAAATAAGGTTATTAAATAACTTATTTTCTTTTATTTTGTTAATGGTTTTAAATTTTCTCGATTTATATTAATTAATTATTAATAACACTTTTAAAATAATAAAAAGTTTATGTTTATCACAAGTCAATATACTATTATTTGGAATTTAACTTATATGCTCAACAGGGCTTAATAATTTTGAATACTATTTTTAATTTAGGGTGATTACATTTTCACCTTCTTTCTCTTGCTATTTTATTTTAATTGATTTTTAAAGAAATTCAACATATTGTTCTATCATGTAGGAAATGAATAAAAGTTTGATTCAAATAATTCAACAATCATATTATATTAATTGAACATTTAGTAATCATCAAAAGTTTTGGTTAATATTTTAAAAATTAAATTAACATTATATATTAATTTATATATGTATCTAGATATTAGTTACCTGAAACCCAAGAGTTAGTAATTTCTTAATAAGCACTCAAGTAATGTAATAACATTTAAAATCTAGAATTCTATATTAAATCTGGAACAGAAGGAATGATTGTTAGAAACATTTATGAAAAAGTTGATTATGAAGAATATGAAATGAAATCGATTGATAATTTTAAATCAATCATATAATTACAATTACCCAATTCATGGAAGACTAGCGATTATTTAAAAATGCTAATTTCAGCAGATTTTTCTCTTTAAGGTGCATTATAAGTACCTTAAATTAAATATTTAGAGAATTTATAAATTCATCTAGGTTGGCTTAACTTATACTAAAACATGGAACCAAATATTAACTAATTAAAATGTGGAGATTTTTATATTTTTGGAATGGACAAACAATCGAGGCCAGTGATAATAATAAAGCATCTTGAAAATGAAAACTTCTAAACCTTTTAATATCTACTGGAAACAATTAAACGATAAGTATTGATTCCTTACTTTGTTGAAAATTGGACCATTATTTATGATTGTTAAAATCAAGAATACAATTTTTATGAAATTGATGTAAAATTTATTAATAATTAAGTTCAATTTTGAGTATATTAAAGAGTTGATGATTAATTTTTGTGGAAATTTAAATAATCTTCTCATAGTAAATTCTAAATTAAATTTTCAATAAATTCTTAATTTTATCCCTAACAAAACTCAAATCCATTCTAAAATAAAATTGATTACTAATCTTGATGATTTATAATAATATATTTTAAAAGAATAATTAGAAGAAAAATATAATGGTGAATGTTAAAATGTAATAACATTTTGGTACAAAATCTATAATTAATTATAGGCCCCCTAAAGTTCCATAAGTTTCTGAGTATTTAAAACATGTTACATATGATTGTTATGAAGATTATTAATATGGATTAAGGAAACTTCAAGACTTTAAAGGCAGAAATTTAAGAAAATTTTCATCCTTAGGAAGATTATCAAATTAACATTCAAAAACAACAAGCATGAAAAAATCAATAGAATCAGCAACTTCTAGTAGCCATCTTAAAATTTTAGTTCATGAAGAAAATGGAAATTAACTTATATAAGAAGAAATTGAAGTTAGTAATAATTAAGGTGAATCCGAGTTTGAAAATTAAAAAAAAAATGATTTAAATTTTTATAAAACTGAATCTGTTGGTCCTTCATAAATGGAACCTAATAATTAACGATAATTTTAAACAATACTAGAAAATGAGCATGAGATTGAGTAGAAATGTTGCTCGGAGAAATTTAATTGTATGATATTTTGATTGATTTTATACTTAATTAAAATTTTAAACTAAACCTCATAATATTATACTAATAGTTTAAATCATTTAAATAACTTTTAAGATTTAAATAT